CTCTCTCTCTCTCTCTCTCTCTCTCTCTCTAGTACAACACATGAAAACAAGAGTTCTGCCATTGCGGCAAAGGTCACCAACATGGCTGAGTGGAAGACACCTCATCCGCAATCCAGCCATCAACATCATGACAATATTGTCCCCTCCCCTGAGAAAACTGAAACGTGGCTCGTTCCTGTCGGGACACGCGGGTCACTGACATGCGCTCCACTTCTACGACGTCTACTCGTGAAACCACACATGGACCATTACCGGCCCTTTGTGCTTGCGATTCGACACGTGGCTCTCGACCATCAGTGATGACCAAAAACACGCATCACAGAACACCATCCGGCTGTAAACATTCTACAATCGTATCTCGCCGTGGAAAAAACGACGTCTTACGAGCGGCGGATCCAGGTACGTGTAATAGAACGCCCCCATATCAAGTTTGTTGCCGTGCTCGATCACCAGGTGATCGATGAAGTACAACACGATGTCGACAACGATATCCAGCCCTGCACTCATCGCTTCGTCGGGGACACAATCACCGGTCTTCTTCACCCACACAAGAACGTGGGACATATTGCGGTTGTTGTAGCCAAGCGCCACATCAAGATCTACGATGGCCTTCCCATTCACATCCACTGACAAAAACCGGTAGGACCGCCGCGTAATCTCCGGACCGAAAACGAGCTCTCGACCGAAGTAACTGTCCCGCTCATGCCGCCTCTCCCAGCACATAATGGCCTCCCCTCTCACGATCTCCCTCCACGCCAACACCACCGCCATCTCTCTCTCTCTCTCTCTCTCTCTCTCTCTCTCTCTCTCTCTCTCTCTCTCTGCGGTCGGATGTCCGCAGTGTTTCGGCCTCGCGCCTCCAGCAAACCCTCGCTCCAAGCATTCCAGGCAAACCACAAAATGCACGAGAAGCAGGCTACACACGGGGAAATAAACAATTGTCGCCCCTTTATACCGCCACGCTCGCGAGGTGAGGCACACAACACCATCAAAGAGGAAATTTATTTTTTCTGGTTCCTTCTCTCAGATTAAATATTTTGATTACCAAAATTGTTAATAGTGCGTTCTTATCGGCAATCGACCGCCGACAGTGACATTTGTGTGTTTTTATTCTGTTTGGTTTGTTTGGTGGTCCAAAAGAAAACAGAAACCCCCACCCACTCCAAGCTCTCCGAAATCGCGTGAACTATATGGTATGAGGGTTCGTGCCCCCCCCCCCCCGTTCTCCAGGGCTAGGTCCGCGTCCTCTGCCTGCCATGACACCCACCAACAACTCCAAAACAGAGTTCCCCTGCCGCATAGCCCCCGCAACATGGCCGATCTCCGTTGCTATATCGCCATACCGTTGTCAGGCGGCCACAAGTAGTGCGCC